TTTAATCTTTTAACTTTATGCATCAAGCAAAAATTTAATTATATGCAACATTCACTGACTGGAAGAAATTTGTTTAACATTTAAACCTAATTTTTGCATATTCCAGCTCATAAAATAAAATATTTTTTTGTGTTTACCCTCACTCTTTCAAATAAATGCAAGTAAAACACAGCAGAAAATATATAAAATCAAAGACTAGCGGTTCTGTTGCTCTATTCTCACCTATAAAGCAGGAGTGGCGTAGGCGGAGGTTAGGGTGCAGGTGTGCCACAGCGGTCAGTTGAAGAATCCGCGAGTTTCTCTCTGAATTTCACATTACGTCGTAGCGCACTAGGTGCTAGCTCGGAAGTTATGGGGTTGTTTTTTTTCGCTGTAAAAAGAAGTTTTCTTCCCACGCAGTGATCAGCGGACGCTAATGTTTTTGTCACTTTTTATGGAATCAAACTCAAAGTAAGGTCAGTACTTCCACGCTTTAAACGCTGCACACTCTTACTCTCTCCCGTACTCGATATATTATCCATTGTTCATCTGCACACAGCTGTTGCTACGAACGTCGCACTCGCTTACGTCATTGTCATGAGACACTCTCGCAAGAAAATCACGGTTTTAGTAACGCAGTGTGCTAACGGGAAAGTAACAGTAATCTAATTACTGTTTTTGCAATAGTAATCCCTTACTTTACTCGTTACTCGAAAAAGTAATCGGATTACAGTAACTCGTTACAAGTAACGCGTTACTGCCCATCTCTGGCTGCAAGTGCTTTTTATGCAGTTTTTGCAAAGCTATATGTGGAAGGAAACTGTGACTTAGGACAAGCTGATGGCATAAGAGGTAAGTACAACTCCTCCAGTTTCATATGCAAAAAAAATTATTGTGCTAGCTTACGTGGTTGCAGTGCTACCGGGATTTAAAAATAGTTATGCAAAACGGAGCGTGCCCGCTCCGACCGCCTTTAAAGGGTTAATAAACTCAGCCGTCTGCTCCTTGCTATCTAAAATATAACAGGACATTTGCGTAAATTCTCGATCATCTCACACTTCTGTTTAATCAGTTTTCCATTTGACGTTTGTTCAGCTTTAATCTCAGCCAAACCGATTTACTCACAAATAAAATACTGAAAAAAGCCAAACAATAACATTTTTACGTTATCTTAGTGACTTATATTTCATGTTTAACCTGAGTAGCGAAAAACCGCGGGGAGTTTGAAAACGATGTGCCGGGAGTTCGCTGTTCTCGCTCTGGCTAGCTATTGAGCTGGTGGGTAACAGACGTCTCCAAAAACGTCGGAGCATTTTTGCAAATATGTGACGTCTTGTTTGAAGCCGAAGGATGTGGCCCCTAAATTTGGACACAGTGGGGGCTGCATCCTCCCAAGGCCTATTACGTCACAGCGATGTGACGAAGGCTGTCCAAATTTGTAGACTCCTCCAACGGAGTCAAGGCTCGCTAGAGCCGGCGAGAACAGCGGCACATCATTTTCAGACCCCCGCGGTCTTTCGCTACACAGGTTAAACATGATATATAAGTCACTCAAATAAATGTTATTGTTTGGCTTTTTTTCAGTGTTTTATTTGTTCCTGAGTAAATTGGTTTGGCTGAGATTAAAGTTATAGTTTTCACACAGCTGAATAAATGTCAAACAGAAAAGCGATTAAACAGAAATGTGAGATGGTAGGGAATTTACTCCAGTGTCCTGTTATATTTTAGATAGCAAGGAGCAGACGGCTGAGTTTATTAAATTCCACTGCAAATTTCATTAAAAGTTCAATAAACTATCATCTTGTCTTTATTTTTAGTTAGCACATACCTTAAACACTTCACGCTGTAAGCTGATGATAGTTATATAAGAGCAGATGCATGCTGGTGCAATAAGCTGTACGTTTTATGTCCAATTGATTATCTGATCAGTCAGCAAATCGCAAAAATAAGGCGACTAGTCAACTAATCGTTTGTGGTAGCCTTATTAAAGACCCTCAAGGTCACCTTACAACAAAATAAAAACATAAGGTAAACAAAAACTAAAAGAAGTTAAACAAGGTAAAAAATAGACTAAGACTGTGTCATGATAAAGCATATAGATGGGTTTTAAGATGCCAAGCAGAGTGCTGTTGTGTCTTTTGAGATGTGAGGGTGATGGCTGACAATGGCAAAGCTTGAGTGCAGGGCTGCTCTTACAGCAACAGAGATAAAAGAATGAAGACAAATTCCTCTTACCATTTTGGCAATATCTGCTGGGGGCAGGAGCGTAGCAGGATGATAATTCTTTGCCCCACTTCTTCCTTGCAGCCCATGCAGAAGGAACTTAGCCACCATCCCAGGAGAATGAGAAACTGATTTTGAAACTCCTCGGATGCTGCGTCCACTGGGTCCATTCTGAGCAGAGTGTACAGTCATTAGGTGGAGTGTGAGGAGTGAGAGCTCAAATACAGGACACGAACACAGGCAGGCAGAATTATAATCTATAGAAACAACACAGTGGGTCCACATGAACTGGCATTCAGACAAAGAACAAGACTCTAAATACATAGAACGTGTGACAGCGGGGGAGAGGGACAAATGGCTGAAAGGGAAGCAAAACTAAAAGTAAAGCACAAGGAACAGGCACTCTTAAAAAATAAAGCATTAAGTGAGAAAACAGACACATGCATGAATGCACACAAGAGGTTGTTTCAAGTTTCTGTATTAACCCTAAAGCATGGGTGTCAGACTCATTTTACATGGTGGGCCACATGTAGCTCACTTTGATCTTAAGCAGGCCGGACCAGTGAAACTCTCGTCACTGTCAGTGTAAAGAAGTTACATGTTTAATTGTTTTTCTGCATAATGAAGAAAAAGCTGCTGTGACAAAGGAAGAAATCTGCCAGCATGAAAAAGTTCTGGTAGCTCACTGCCCAGAGGCTGCCCAGCTTTGTTTTTTGTTTTGTTTTTAAACTGTAGTTGTGGAAAAAAAACCCTTGAAATTTCTATAGTCTGTTTTTCACAAAGTTAGAAAGGTTTTATTAGAGACATAGCTTTTGCAAGCAGTGTTTCACAAATTATGCCAAATTGGCATCCTCAGGTCTTTCTTTGCTGCTGGTTCAGTGAATTTTGGTCTAAGAATGATGAAACCTGCAGTTTCAGAATCTGTGAGATGTCAGCTTACAGCACCGGTAAACAGACATGTGCTTCGTGTTTACGTCTTTTTATGGAATCTCCTGCTCTTTAATCGTTTGGTGTTTTACCTGTTTGGTGGTTGTTGAAATGGTTTTGTTGCTGAGATTTTGAAGTTTCTGTGGATACCACACGTCTATATTTAAATATATAGAGATATGGTACATTCTGTTTAACCTAATGTTCTCCCTCTCGCCCCCAGTACTGGGTAGCATTGAGTTTCAATAAGTTAATTGTTTATTGCTCAATTACTTTGTTTAGTGTGAATGGCCATATGGGAAGTTTTAATCATTATGAAAAACTGTAAATACAGTTACAAGTCCATTTGTGTCTGTGTGCGGTGAGCACAGATCACGCAAGTTAGGAATTCCAAATAACTTCAAGCGCACATTCAGGCCTATGAAGACTCACTTAGACACTCAGGCACTCTGTATCATTGACATGCAACCAGATGCTGCTAATTTTATGTTTTCGCTTGTTTCTTCACTTTTTCCCAACACACTTGCATTTAAATCTGGCCCCCTGTCTCTCTGTGTACCTGGCTGGTACTACTATACTTGCTGTCTTCAGAATGTCTGCCCCTCCTTCTTTCACATAATGGTATGATCCCAGTCTGACTTTGAGTGTGACTGGGCACATGGTGTGTCAATCAAAATAAAGTCCCACCCCCACTTGCATGGATTCTCAGCAGACCTAAAGACTTGTATACCAGCGATTAATAACTGACATATGAAACTATGTGGCACCCAGGCTGTACGTTTGACACCCCTGCTCTGAAGCAACCGGGAACTAGGACTAGAGTGAAAATTTCAAAGTTAAAAACAAATATACAACAAAATAAGAAATTAAATTCTTTTTCCCCATGTAAGGGTTCAGTATGCTCTTTTTCCAGGACAAGCTGTACCAGGAGGATTACCAGCAGGTGGTAACCGAGGAGGAGCAGGAACAGATCTCAGCCAAGCTGAAAGAGGTGTCTGAGTGGATGGATGAGGATGGCTATGCTGCCACCACCAAACAGCTGAGAGAAAAACTCTTTCAGCTGAAGAGCCTGTGCAAGGACATGTTTTTCAGGGTTGACGAACGACACAAGTGGCCGGAGCACCTGGCCCGCCTGGAAAGCCTGCTCAATAGCTCCAGTTTCTTCTTAAAGTAAGTGGTTAGAAGGAAGGAAATGTAAAGTTAGTCATGAGCCAGTCGTTGACTGAGTTTTTGTTCTCTTAAAGGAGTGCGAGGCTGATCCCAGAAGATGATCAGATCTTTACTGACGTCGAGCTAAACATGCTAGAAAAAGTCATCAATGAAACAATGGTAGGTGGTGACAAGCTTTTTCTTGCCTGAAAGCCTGCGTATCTGAAAAGCCTTTCCTCTTGAGAGAAATCCAGGGTTTCTCGCCCAGACTTTACATGCCTGTTCACATGGGCTGAATTTGTCGCTATGTTTATAACTGAGCTTCGTGTGTGAAGTCATCTCTGCTTACTTTAGGTGTGGAAGAACGAGACGACAGCAGAGCAGGAGAAACGCTCTCCAAAAGAGCGACCGGTCTTGTTGTCCAAAGACATAGAGTCCAAACGGACTCTTCTTGAGCGAGAGGTCAATTACTTGTTTAACAAGGCCAAGTTTGCCAAGCCTAAACCCAAAGCCAAAAACAGTACAAGCACAGATAAAAGCAGCAAGGCTAACAGCACAGCTGAAGAAAATGTCAGCCCTCCTATAGAGGAAAGCACAGACACCAAGAGTGGTGGGTCAAACAGAAAAACACACATTATTTCCCCATTATTCTGTTAAACTAATTAGAAGTGTATTAAAATAACTTCATTATATCTTTTTTTTTTCTTCTTAAATTTAGATACAGGAAGTTCAGAAGAGATACCATCTGATGAAACCCCATCCACTGAGAGTACTCTCGACAGCCAATCACAACCTAAAGAAGAATCCGCAACTACAGGTTTGTACACCACACCTGTTAATTAGTGTTAGTTAATGGAGCCAATTAATGGTTTGACAATCTTACTGCTTCCATAGAAACTGGAAGCCAAAGTAGCAGTCAGATCCTCCTAATCAAATGTAGTTGATTAACTAATGATCCACCTGTGACCACATGTATACAAACTTTGACCAAGAACCAAGCTGAGGTGGGTGTCTCCCGAGTAGGACCCGGGATAGATTTGGGACCCGCTGGTGAGACTGTATCTATCGGCTGGCTTGAGACACCTCCGGCAGACTTCAACACCTAAAAATATAATTTCACTCACCACTGTATCTCCAGCTTGCAGAGAGAACATGGTCATAGTGGAGCTTTTACTGTTTTGCATATTTATGGTTCCGATCTCTGTCCTTTTTTCCAGGAAAACTGGAGAGAACCCAACCTGAAAACCACATAGAGGATGAATTATAACAGCTGGAACTGTAGAAGAAAAAATATTTATTGACAGTGTCTAAATGTTCAGCTTCTCTCTCAGACTGTTTTTTTTTTTTTTTTTTGTCTCGTTGACTCATTTGTTGAACCTCTGGACACACGGTGAATAGGAACTGGACATTTTTCTGCTCCTTGTCTCCACTTGAGTGTTTCATCTTCATGGATTCTATAAATGAGAAGTAGTTTCACATGAATCAAGCCCCAGACTGCATTCTTCCTGACAAAATGCCTTTTCATATCCACCACCATTATCTTATCAATGCTAATCCAGAGGGAGCTGTTTGGCTAGTTTACAATGTCTTTAATAACAATATTTGATGTTTTAAGTTGGTGGATATACAAACCAAGTTAGTGCAGCACTTAACAGTTTTGGTTACAGTCACAGCGGATACAGTGTTCTTGTTTTTGCACCAACCCATAATTCCTTTGGCCCTTTAAATTGCTGTCAAAAGTGTCATCTAGTATATTAAGCATATGTAAAACTATAAGAATGAAAAATGTGTTAATTTATTGAAAATTTAACTACAAATAATGTAGAGGAAGCCCCTATGTTTTTCAGCTAAAATTCTGAATCCAATGTTATCAGAAACATCCAGTGTAATGTTCAGAGGGTGGGATCCTGCCCTTCAGGGACAACTTGCTTATATTTCTTTTTTTTTTTTTCTTTTTTTTTAAACATTTTTCCTAAAATTCTGCTACTCAATGGACATTTTATTTATTGGTAAATGTTCCAACATTAACATGTTATCCACCAGCAGCACTTACAGATATTCACATGGTAGTGTCCTTTATGTGGCCCTTAGTTTTGATAGTTGACTTCCCCCGTGTGTGCAGACAAAACAAGATAAATACTGAGCTCCCAAATGGTGATGATTTAACAGTTCAACAGTGAGTTCACGCATCTGCCTCCTGCTGTCGTGATATGGCTGGATTTCAAAGACGTTTTCTACTGATGCTAATAAAGCTTTTGACAAGTGCTTCAATGTTGTTTTATGATGCCAGTCACACTGAGTGCTTTCAGAGTCTTCATATAAGCTGCTAGTAGAAGTGTTTAGCTTTTTGTTTACTGGGACATAACAGTGTGGTGCACATGTTTGCACCATTTTTCCTGTTAGAACACGGGAGTAAGGGGTTTGGGTCTGCTATATCCTTCTCTGTACTCTGAATAATGCAAAAGAAATCAGGGTGGAACCAAGAATAAAATTTGGAATGGGAGATGGAAACGATTCCTGTATTCCTAAACTGTTAATAAAAATATTTTTGTTTGTAATTTTAAGACACTTTGAAGAGTAATGTATATGTTCCTCAGTTTTTGTAAGTGTCTTAGTAAGGCTGAACTGGGGTTGAACTGCATAGTCCCTGATTTACCATACTGTGTATGTTTAATATATGTACCTTTACAACTAAATTAAGGAAAAGATTTTAAAAGTGGCTTGGTTTGTAATTATTGAGGCTGCTCATTCAAAAACTGAAACAAAGTGAAAGGTGACATGAATCCTCCTGTCATTAGGATTATTACATTAAGAACTGAGGCTGGCTGAGGGGTTTAAGAATATATATAAATCACCCCTGGTGGCCAGAAATCCCAGGGCAGTTTTTTTATTCCAGTTCCACACTTTGTGGAAAAAACAACAAAAAATGGCATTGCACAAAGTATCTCCCACACAAATACCAGGACAGTAAATGAAATTCACCGGAGGTTGGAGGTGTCTGAGGATAATTCTCTCCAGGATCTTTTATCAGGTGGGAAACAGACTACAGGTCAGGTTTGTGGCTCTGATTTGTCAAAACCACATAGAAAGTCGTACACTTCAGACCAATGCCCAGAGTACACTGCCGTACCCACTCCAAGGCTGGTTTTATGCTCTTGTGTCACGTAGCGATTTTCACATCACATCCTGTGTCACGAGACACAATCTTTGTTGCGCTTCAGCTGACAAGCAGAAGATCTTAGACAAGGGCAATGAGGTCATCAGCTGACTGGAAGAGAGCCAAGCAGATATGAATGGATATGGAACAAATTAAAAGCTCAAATTAATATTGTGTTTGTTTGTGGTTTTCACTTCAATTTATTTTAATATTTATGGTTATCTGCTAAAAGAATATGCAGACAGAAAATTGTGGTGGTCTCTTATTTTCTTGAATTATGCATATCTGTGGCTTATGGCATATTTAGGAGACCATCAAATATTGCTGGTATGTCAATATCAGTCACAGTAGTGTTGTTGTCAGCATGTAACTGTAACCATTTTCCAACACACTATGTTGGTTGGCTGTTGTATTGAATGTGTAATATATGACTCACCACAAAGAAAACATCTATATGTGCAGTTTATGAAATGTTTGGACCCTGAAGATTAAATTATGACCAAGGCAGGTTTCATTTTTTAATTTGTGTTTGTGTAATAAACATTCATTATATTTGTAAGCTTAAGTGGAATATGTTGGTAATAACATTAAATGTTTGCCATGAATACTAATGACAATAATATTGAGCCAAGTAACAGTTAACATATACCCTGCTGCAATGAAACAGCTAAAAACTCCATGCCAAGCCTTTGTAAACAGCATATGGCTAACTACAGGATCCTTCTGATTCTCATTTTTGGTTATTTTAAAAACAGACATTGAAAATATTGTACGTATTATTGAGAAAATGCATTCACTTTCAATTCAAATGGCCCTTGCAGAACTAATACAGGCAAAGTCCAAGTGTACTATGTGTATTTGTTAATGAGTTTATGAACAAAAGCATACACACGAGGACTTCAAGCACACGAGGGTCAAGAAAGTTACATCTTCCGTTTAAATCGGGAGAAAATGTTCATGAATCAAAAGAACAAAATTTTTAGTTTATTACAGTAACGTGAACTCAAATTCATAGCAACCTACTTTGACATATGAGTCAATGTGAAATCTTGTAAACACCTCGCATTGTTCCACTGAAGGCCAATCTCTTTTGTGAAAGGAAGAATCTAAATGAAGAGAGAGAGGGGAAAAAAAATACTTAGTACCCCTGAACACAACACCACAGCTAGAGAGGCCATTTCTGCTCAGCTGTCGTTTGTTCCATCGAAGAGACGAACAGCAAAACAACAAAAATAAAGACTTAACAGATTTCTTTATTGAAACACCATGACATAAACAATAAAACACATTTGCACGTAGCAGCATTGCGAAACTAAAACATGTTCCGGCCCATACTTGGTCCACTTTAAGAATGGATTTTTTTCCCCCCTATGGCCGTCATCACCACCCAGCCCGCAGAGTGCCTCCATTTTCCAGAGCCAAAAAACGCAACAACAGTCAATAAAAATGTCCCGATACTGTAAGTTATAACGCAGAAACAGCAACACCATCCCCGTTCGAAAGGTTGTTTATCAAAAAAAATATATATTAAAAAAAAAAAAGTGGCTGGCCCCACGGGGAACCTTTTGTCCCGGCTGAATCCAGACCTCTAGGCAGTTTGTTTGGTCTGTTTTTTACTTGCTCTTGGTCGGTTTCTCAGTCTTCTTAGGAAGGAGGACAGCCTGAATGTTGGGCAGCACTCCTCCTTGGGCGATGGTCACTCCCCCCAGCAGCTTGTTGAGCTCCTCGTCGTTTCGTACTGCCAGCTGGAGGTGCCGGGGAATGATTCTGGTCTTCTTGTTGTCCCTGGCCGCATTCCCTGCGAGCTCCAGGATCTCAGCAGTCAGATACTCCAGCACGGCCGCAAGGTACACGGGAGCCCCGGCGCCGACCCGCTCCGCGTAGTTTCCTTTGCGCAGCAGCCTGTGGACTCGACCCACCGGGAACTGGAGTCCGGCTCGAGAGGAGCGGGACTTGGCCTTTGCTCGGGCTTTGCCTCCGGTCTTTCCTCTGCCAGACATCCTTGATAATGTGGCTATTGACGACGTGGAAACAGTATAACAACCGTACAATGACGCCCTTAGAGCTTTACGTAATGCATTCGTGAATATAGCGCTATAAACCAGAAAGCGTTCTCCGATTGGACGAAAGGAACTGAACTCCACGAACCAATGGCACACCACATCCTTTAGCAATGCAGGTCCTCGGATGAGCAATGGCCCAATCCTAAAGAAGGATCGGCACGCTTAGATTTACATAGACATGCTATAAATAGGAGACTGTGCAGGAGGCGGTATTTTGAGCTGTGCTGTGTTGGGGGATTTAGTCAACGCGACGGAGAAACTGCCTGAGCCGGCAAAATTAACCCCGGGCCACAGAAAAGGCTCCCAGAAGGCCGTGAGCAAAACCCATAAGAGAAGGGGGCGCAAAAAACAGGAAAGAGCTATGTTATTTACTTGTGTAATGGCACGGTAAGATAAAGGCCATTGTTTTACACATAAGCAGGCATTACATTTTGTAATATGTATTTAATATGGTTGAAATACATCAAATGCAGCAATAAACACTGTATGTAACTTTCCCATTTTCTTTAGACCACATAATTAAACGTTTATGTTACATTAAAAAAAACTGAAGTAATAGTCTTTAGTGCCAAAGAAAAACGATTACAGGTCACCACAGAACTTCAATCTATACACCTAAAAACCACAAACCAGGGTGTAGTGGGTGTAGTGATGGATGCAGACCTAAACTTAGAAAAACACATTAAGACAATAACAAAATCAGCTTACTATCACCTCAAGAATATATCAAGGATAAAAGATCTGATGTCTCAACAGGACCTGGAAAAACTAGTCCATGCATTCATCTTCAGTAGGCTTGATTACTGTAACAGCATCTTTACAGGTCTAACCAAAAAATCAGTCAGACAACTACAGCTCATTCAGAACTCTGCTGCTCGAGTCCTCACTAAGACCAAAGAAGTGGACCACCTGAGGTCTTCACACCGGCTGCCTGTCCGTCAGAGGATAGACTTTAAAGTTCTGATGCTGGTCTATAAAGCTCTGAATGGTTTAGGACCAAAATACATCAGTGACCTCCTGACCCAGTATGAACTTTCCAGATCCCTCTGGTCATCTGGATCTGGTCTTTTATCAGTTCCCAGGGTCAGAACCAGACACGGAGAAGCTGCATTCAGCTTTTATGCTCCATATATCTGGAACAAACTCCCAGAAAGCCTCAGATCAGCTGAAACACTCAGTTTATTTAAATCCACGTTGAAGACTCACCTATTCCCAGCTGCATTTGAATAAAACACCAAATCCACACTTGTAAGCTTAAATTTCAAAACTTACATTTTAACTACTGATTTTATCTACTGTTTTTTTAATCAATTTTAAATCATGCTTTTTATTTGTTTTTGTTTTTTAATGTCTCTGTAAAGCACTTTGAATCACCTTGTTGTTGAATTGTGCTATATAAATAAACTTGCCTTGCCTAAAAATGCATACCCCAATAAGTATATTACAGACAGCTACACAACACGAGGTCAGTCAGTTAGAAATACAAGTCCAATTTCAGCTTCACACTATTTTTCATTAGAAAAAATCAGATGGTTACATACTTAAATTTACACAAAGTGTCATAAATCTGCACTGTCATCAGCACATTTTTCACCAATGCAAAGGTAGTGGAGCCCAGGATACGACTGGCCATTTTTGACTACTTTTCATTTTACCTTTAAAAACTATTTACCTTCCCTTGTTTGGTAAAATAATTTTCAGCATAATCTGACATGTCTGAATTTACAGTTATTTTTTTCATTCTGAGATACTGCATAAACACCAAATCACACAAAAATGAATTCAAAGTAGGAAGGGTTAGGGTTAGGGGTTAGTGAACCCCCCATGTTCAATGGTTTACTTTGCCAAATTCTTAATTTTTGCACCAGCACTGGAGAATGAAGAGAATTAATTCCATTAGAATCAGGCCTTACACTGAACGTCTTAATTCACTGGACCGGTCTGTTATGTTTTGATATTGTGTTTCATTTGTCTCCGATTTCTTCGTAGGGAACTTAAGTCTGACTTGTTCAAGTATGAACGTCTTTTTTTTTTTTTTTGCACAGCTTGTACACATTTTACTTTCACTTTACAAAATGGTTATTGTATTTAATTGTCATAAAGTGGAAAGAGTGAGAGGACCCAAATGCAAACACTGGAACAGAACTTAAACTTTTGTTCTGCCTTTATTTGTGGCAGAACAAAACACAAATGAAAAAGCAAAGGGAGACAAAGACTAAACTATCAAAACCTGAACTGGGTAACAACTAAACATAAGTACATGGAACATAAAGACCTGAAACCCAGACCACGAAGCACCTGAGACTCACAAACACAAGGGGAGATGAGCAGACAATCCAGCAAC